CATAGTCTCCTATAATCAATGAAATTTTTAGGTATTACACTTGTTTGATTTTCCAAGCAATTAAGTTACAATGAAAAGGCACTCGAAGTGATAAAAGTTCAACTAGTATCTGCTAAATAGTAACAAAATGTACATCAGAATTTAGAGTTTTCCCCTTCCCTGGAGGTTTTCGTCATTCTGATTATAAAGTTATTGCGTGTAATAATGGCAATATACATTCTCACGTTTATCTGTTATTATTTTACGAAGCAACTTTGTACCGTCCGCTTTCCTCCTGAAAAAATTTTGCTAAAGTAAACGTGCAGCTTGGTATCCCTCTTACGTAGTACAACGTCAACCAAAATAAATAAATAAATAAATAAAATAAAATTTTAAAAAAAAAAATCTGAAATGTTTGAGATTTTAAATTACGTCCAAAGGGGCGTTTTTTAACATTTTGTGTGTTACCTTACCTTTCTTTATTAAATATCATGTTCCTCGCACTTAAACCATAAGATCCAGTGCAACAGCAATATCGCAAAATAGTTTTTAAAACGAGCATATCTTTAGAATTTCCGATACAGAGACTCACGCGCTGGAGATAAAAATGTTTTTTCTGCACAACGTTGCCATTGCTCGCTTTGAAATCCTTGAGTTTGTTAATCAAAAATTCGTCAAAGTTTTAAAAAAGTAGGAAATCGATCTTCAAATTTCAATTTGGTCTTCCACATGCTCATATTCGTTGGAGGATTACGTTATTCAAAATTCGATGACTCTATGTACCGTTGTTTTATCACAATACGAGAAATATACATACATTTATGCAGATTTTTCATTATTTAATTTCTTCAAATATAATGCAGGACTCTAACATTTTGTGGCAACAGTTTGAAAAGTGAACCGACATTTATGAGTCCGACGCAAAATGCCAAAACGAAACTAATAGTCCTTCGGGATTCAAATCCCTTTGGACTAAAAAAAAAAAAAAAAAATCCTCTTAAATAAATTTTGTTGTCAAAGTTGTATTACATCTGATCATATCAATAATTAAATATCTATTTAGTTTTTGGCTGCCTAAATATACTTTTCATATAATTAAGAAGTACGTAGCAATATACACAAAAAATCACTTTTGCAAAGAATGTTATGAGCGTCTTATTCAAGCATAACAAAGTTGTAAAAAAAATAATAATAATAATAATTCACACATTTGTATAAAGCTGGATTCCATTCAATGTTACCCCCGCCCATTTCCGAAACTCGTTTTTTACAGTTTTTGAAACGCATACTTTTGTACTAATTAAACTGTTACTTTGAGAATAAATTTTGTAAAATAAAAAAGAGATGTTAATTTTGTAAAAATAAAAGATGGAAAACTCTTGTTGTCTGGTTATGCTAATGTAATCTCTATTTTGAAGATTCTGATTTGATAGTTTTTATTTTGAAGATTTTGATTTTGGAAAGAATTCAACCACAATATTCCATTTTATTGTAGATTGAAGTAATAAGAATTTTTTATACAAAAGAAATATTTTCAAAAAATTATATGCTTTTGATTTTGAAAGTCTTTATACTTGAAATGAGCACTGTAATAATTTGACTATTAAATCTGATTTTTATTGTAAGTCAAAGAATTTTCTATAGAACAAAAATAATTTTTGAAGAATTAAATTCAGATTGGAAATTTTTGAATGGAAATACGTTTTTAAGAACTTTATTCGTATATAGCTTTTTCTTAAATCCATTTAGATGAAATAATTCGATTCCCTCTCTAAGCCGTATCAGAATGAAATTGAGTTAAAAAAAATAAATCCATGTAAAAAAAGAATTTGGTAGATTTATATTCTACAGGAAGAAATTATTGAAACGAAGGAATGTGTTTAAAAAAATTAATGCATTTTCATTACATGATAAAAATTCAGATCATGTTATTAATCTCTGGTTTTCCCTCTTCTCGGTTTTATGGCTGTGGGCATACTTTCGAGCAAATGCGTACTTCTTATATGAAGTTCAAGGGCAGGATAAGTAACTTTTTATTGTTGTTGTGATATTTGTATTTAACAATAAACAGTGTCAGTTACTGATGGTCCATCTAACAAATTAATGTTTAGATTTTGGATGGCAACAGAAGAAAATTTTTAAGTCATATTTTGGGAAACGACCCGTAATGAATATTATTAAGCAAAGTTGCAAACAATGGAACTATTATCAAAGTAGTGAAAGCCGCTTTGGTTAATACCATTGTTAACTTTGAATAACAGCATTTAGCTTTAATTATAAAATATGTATATGCCTCTAATGAACAAAACTGTAATAAATTTGATCACAGAAATGGGAAATAACTTATTTTTAAGGGTATTAATTTTATGTAGTCTCAAACCAACAAAGCAGATTTATGTTAAAGGGCTTCGAAAATGTTCAGCTATAAAATTTAGAAAAAGGAATTTAATTTAAAAAAAAAAATCTTAAAGCTTTCAGATTTTATATTACTCCCAAAGGAGCGTTTTTTTCATTTACATATACATACACGTTCGAGCACTTTCGTTACATTTGAGCTAATGCTCTTTTAGGCTAAAATATTTTAAAACAGCCTGTCTTTAGAATTCCCGATAGACAATCTCGCGCGCTGGAGATAAAAATGTTATTTCTCTTACAGTCTAGCCAATGCTCACTTTGAAATCGTTGAGATAATAAATAAACTAATGCAAATTAAAGAATAATATCTTTTTTATATACATAATTTAGTATGCATTAAAAATGCATCTTTCTTTAGCATTTATTTAAAGTATATTTTTTATGCATTCAAAAGTGTGTTTTTCTTCTAAATTGCGAGTATTAATACTTATTGCGGATTTAAAATTAAACTATTAATATTCGCTATTCAGCTAGTAATAAATATCCTTTTAAAAATAGCTTTTGAAAAATTAGGTTTTCTCAATTTGTTTCGAAATATTTAGTTTAGCAAGAAAATAGCCTTCCCCAAAACAGTGTCTTCTAAATTTGTATAGAAACTGTTTTCACATTTAGTATTTTCAGAAAGTAGTATAAGCAAAGAAAAGATTTAAAATTTAGGCCGTACTATTGAAGAGATCACATATCTTTGACCTCGATGAAAATTGCATGGGTTCTTTACATAATATTTACAAATATCTCAATAATATGAATCTGAAATGTTAATTTTATTTTAGGGCACAAATATTGGAATAAAAAAATTCCCAAAATGAGCAGGATATGAACGTGACATTACTCATGCTCTCGAACCAGTTTTCTCCACTTAAAAATTTTTTAGCGATTTTATATAATCATAACGAAAACTAGATAGTCAGTTTTTACTATTAAGAGTTAAATACGGTGGCTGTTACACAATTTTAAAACTACAAAATATTATAATGCACTTCTAATATTAATTCGAAGATTCACTTCTCGATAATTTGTTTCTAGTGTAATTTATAGTTATCTTCCCATAAAAATACCAACAAAGAAGTTAGAATTCAACTTAATTAAATAAAGATGTAATTTTTAACAATGTAGTACTTTCAAACTTGAGCTCATATTTTATATCAAAGTTTCAAATTCCACAAAGAAAGAAACAATTAATAAATAAAGAAATCTAGATAAATCCAAAGATCCGATCTGTTTCGTATTTTTGGTACTAGTATTTTTTAAGTATGAAGTACCAGTGGAATTTGAAACTTTGATATAAAATATGAGCTCAAGTTTGAAAGTATTACATTGTTAAAAATTACATCTTTATTTAATTAAGTTGAATTCTAACTTCTTTGTTGGTATTTTTATGAGAAGATAACTATAAATTACACTAGAAACAAATTATCGAGAAGTGAATCTTCGAATTAATATTAGAAGTGCATTATAATATTTTGTAGTTTTAATTTATATATATATATATCAGCTCGATAGATAAGGGTAATTTTAAAACTCAGCAGATATTATAACAGTTTGCATATCCATATTAAGCTAAAAAAAATCCGAACCAAAATAATTCTGGTGTAGTTTTATAGAAAATTTTAAGAGAGATGAGGGATATAAGATATTGGTAACCGCAATGATTAAAAACATACTAACTTACGTTTCTACAGATGCAGAAATTTTAATTTCAAAATTTAACATTTCATCTATTCTTATTCTAATTATTTTCGCGGAGCATTATTATTCTTTACTTTTACCGATTTTATGCAGAGTATTAGTTTTCACTCTTTTCAGAATAAGTAAAGCATAAAATACATCTTGTAACAGTTCTCTGCGAACTATATTTTATGAAAATATATTTAATATTTTTTGCATAGTTAAACCAGCATCTATACTATTTTTCAAATTTATATTTAAATGTATTTAAACACAGGCATAGTAATTATATATTTCAAAATTGTACGTGAATGTATTTTTATCTATTGTATAAGTATTTATATACGTTATCTTGCATTACAGGAAGTATTCAAAATTAAAAGTATCACTGGGTTTCATTCTTTAGCAATGCATTAAAAAAAACAGTTATGTTTGAAGTGCAGTAAAAATCTTAAATTCAAAAAACTTTTTTTTTCACCATTAAAATTTCACATATAGAATTTCAGTGCATTACGGAGTAACAACGCAAGCTTTTAAAATGCAGATTTCAACGGAAGATAGACGCTGACTAATTGATAGGCGTAATAAAACTCAAAATTCTGTCAACTCAGATGCAAATAATTTGATACAAATGTCTTCATTATCTAAATAAGTAGTGTGTTTTAAAATTACTTGATTGTAAAAAATATATTTTCAGTTACTGGAGCATTGGTAAATTTTAATAAAAGATTAGAAAATTCTATTTGAATGCCAGAAAAGCACAATTTATGTGTTTGATATCTAAAACAAATGATAAAACAATTTAAAATTTAAAAAAAAAATGCGTTCATAAAATTCTTATCTGCATGCTTATCATTTAAATGAAATTCAGACCTAAGATATAGATTTTAGACATAAAACTGATAAGTTTAAAAATTGTATTAGAAATTAAAGCTTACCTTGGCCGAGATGATGAGCCATTCCTTCTGGACAGTAAGGATGCTGTAAACCGGATATGGTCGGATCTAAGAGTCCCCAGTGAGGTGCCATTTCAGGACGCAGATAACCATGGCCCGAGGATGCAAATGTCGAAAAGCCCGCGGTACGATTCAACTCGTTCTGGTCACACCCACTGGGCTGAGATGTTGCGGATAAGTTTAAAGAATTCTGGGCAAGGTTGAGTCCAGAGGTGAGTGCCGAAATGCCATAACCTGCACTTTGCTGATGATCATGGACATTCGGCGTTTGCGAACCCGACCAGTGATGCCCGCTTTGAGAAACCATTGACTGGTGGCCTCCCATAGTCTGCCCAGCAACGTAAGGAAGCATTGTCAGTCCACCTGTCGGAGACGCATAAAGAGCTGAAGATGGTGAGGCAGGATCTACAGTGTACCCCGAACTTGGTTTTCCAGGATACAGTTCCCTCCCTGAATACGAGGAAGGCGAAGAGTAATTACCAGCCATGCTGTAAGGAGCCATGCTGCCAAACGTACTGACCATGACTGAGTCACTAGCGCTGCTGGTGTCTGTTTCGCGTTCCCTATCCCTTTCGCCGTCAGATGGCGCGTGGTTCGTGGGTTGCTGGGGTTGTCGCGACTGGACGACCTCAAGGCTGTGTCTTGGACTTGATTCCCGCCCTTCACCCTCCCTACCAGGCGGGGACGAAGAAGCGGAATGGCTGAGAGTATCTGAATGGGGGCGGGACTCCTCTCTTTTATATGGAGATTCTATTGGTTGAGCTTTGTCGTTTTCAGTGACGGATGGGACTGTCTGGTAATTCCAATTGCCGCCGGCCATGTCTGCAGAAAGATGGGCGGTATCCAGCATCCATGCTTGTGAAGTTTTGTTTTTGTTTTCGTTCCATACCGGCTCAGAATGACCAAAATATCGAGAATTTCTTGATTTATTTTTATTTCCTTTCGTAACTGGCGTGATACCTTTCATTAAAACATACGTTGACTGAGTATTATTGTTAGCATGAGTCCAGAGTTTAGAATCGTGTATTACAGTATAAGAATGATTTTGATTATGAGAATCAGCAACAGTAGTGATTTCTTTATTACTGGTCATTGATTCTTCTCCTTCTGTTGAAATAGGTTTGTGAACATCTTGTTCAAGGTGAGGAATATTTGGAAGCCAAGAAGACATTTCTGATTGCTTTATATCGTGACATTCCTGTTCCCATGCTTGATGGGCATCCATCGTAATTTTCTCACGGTTCTTTCTCAATGTTTCTAAATCTTGATCAGCTGAAAAATTTTGGTTAAATGATTCATTATTTATTTGGTGATTTTGATGGTCTTCGCGACCAGGATGATTTAGCCATGAGTCGACATCAGCTTGAGCAACAGTAGAGTTGAGCTGCTGCTCAGAGCACCAGTGTTGAGTTGCTGATAGCTGCACATTTTGGGAGTCATTATTATTACTTGAATGCTCGTTATGCACTTTCTGTCTCGCAAAAAATTCCTTACCATGGTCAGATCTTTCCCAAGAGTGAGTATCATCAGATTTTTCTAAATTCGATACCGAGTTTCGTTCATTCCAATCTTGATGAGAATTCAAACTATCTTCTCCAGTTTCCATTTTTGTATTTTCTTTAGAAACAATAGACTTATTCCCCATCTCGATATTGAAAAACTGTTGTGTCTCCAACCATGACTTAACGGAAGCTGGTACCATATTATAATCGTTAATTATAAGAACATTTTGCTCACCTAACCATTCTTCTTTGAAAGACTGGTTCTGCTTGTTGGATATCCAAGAATCATGGAGTGTTGAATTGTTGACGTTACTGGAATGTACAGCACTGACTTGTGAAATGGAATGAAGCCTTGGTGTTTTCTCGTCAGAGTCCCTTTCAACATTATCTAAACAAGATTTCTCCTCATATTCTAGTTTCACATAATTCCCTCCCTCATCTACGTAATGCATTTCATTATTAGAATTTTCAAAATATTCTTTTTCAGTTTGGTGATGGCTAGAAAGTTCCTGCTCAAGATTTTTATAATGTTCTTGTTTTATCAGAGGCACTGCTCCTTCGTTGTTCATTGAATTTCTGCTGAAAGAGTTGGAATGTGCAGGTTCAAGGACGAACGTTCCATCGATGGTTTTGAAAGGATTTTTCGGAGGGCAATGTTGGTGAGCTTCATGATTATTGACTATTAGTCCTTTGGCATTAGCTTCAGTTGTAATGGTGTATTTGTCGTAATTCTCATAGTATTGTACCGTGATATACTCTTGCGACTCATCATCTGCAACATAATGCACTGTATGGGAGTTATTGCCATCTTCTTCCTTGACGTAGGGCGTACTGTAATTTTTGGTTGATACGTCATTTTCTTGGTGAGAGTAGGAATTCGAAGAAGTTACGTCAGGAATAGAAGCCATCGGGGTCTTTGGAAAACTTCCAAATAAAATATGTGCCTGCAAAATATAAGAATAATATGTAACTATAAAACGAAGAAAAAAAATCTTCATTTTAGATTTATTATTAAATCTGACAACTGATTTTGAAATTTTCTTTTCGTTTTGAAGAGCATAACTTAAAATTCGCCAAACTATTTAGAAAAGACAGTTCATGTCAAAAACTTTTCTTAGTGTAAGTAAATAACAGCAAATTCTCTAATTTTCTAAAAATTCGCGTTATTCGGCCCACAAGCGGCAAATGGTAACCCCGCTGAACGCTGGTAGTTCTGTCCGGAATTCGAATCTCGGCGAACGGGCTGGCTGCATGGGTATTTTTGTGGTTTTCCCCATGTGTAAATGTGTGTACGAACCAGTTTCCCTTAGAAAGTACTCCAAGAAGGCATCGCTTCCCTTAGGCAGATAGCACGCTTTTCCATACTTAAATAAACCAAATAAGCACAATTCGCTGCAAAAGAGCTTTCGATTCTTCTTAGTATGATCTAACTTTCTAAAGATCAGCTTAATTTCTTAAAACCTTAAATTCACTTTCAGAAGAAATCTTTTATTTTAGTATAGCGTTCATTTTTAGTAGCTTTCAGTATGAAATATATTACTTTGTGCCTCAATTATCCTCGTTCCTCACAATAAAAATTAATTACATAATGAAGGAAAAAAATCGGAGCACTTCAGATGGCAAAATAATTAATGAGAAGGTCGGCTTTAATTTTGTTAACTTGATATTAATTTTTAGTTTATAAAGTTTCCTTTTAAGAATCTTAACGCATCATTCTTTTACATCATCAAACAAATTGGAGGCGAAGGCAGATTAAATCTTCATTTTTTTTTTTTTTTTTTTTTTTTTTCAGCAGCATGTTGCGGACAGAAACAAGTTGACACATTAATTGTATCTATTCCAGAAAGTATACATTTTATGTAAATTTGCAGTAAGAAAGAAGGAGCAGACAGACTACAGTCTAACTAGACGAAAGCGTAGAAAGCAAGTGCGTTATGTTCAGAGTAACATCTTAATTCAGACTTAGTTTTGGTTTCCAATGCAGTTTGATTGGATAGTTAATATTGCTTTAAAATTACTATTAGCTGTTTGAGTTTTAGTTTCGTTTACATCATCAAAATTACGTAAAAATCATATGACATGGATTAAGCTCGAAATGACGCAGTGCAAATAGAAGTTACTATGCTTAGAATACTGAAGGGAATTTAAGTTGCTAATTTAATCCTTTACATATTCTTCATTTTTCTTACATATCCAAAATATAAAAAAAAATCCTTATATATATCCAAAAAGGGAGGTGCACTAGTACATGTTATAGCAGTTTCATGTACAAAGTTTCAACATTCTAAGGCTACTCGTTTTTGAATTATGCGAGATGCATACATATGTGCGTACAGACGTCACCAAAAATGTCTTCGGAATCCATTTTAAATTCATTTTACAGTCCGTTTTGAAAAACTGAGTCCTTTATTCTTCCCGTATGTACAGATGTCAGGGGAAAACATCGTTTAAATGGCTTCGAGAGCGGTCATAATGCATATTTTTGTTGAAATATGATACCCGAAATTTTTCACGATTCCGTTACTTCGTTCAAGGAACTTAAAAAAAGATTAAGTGCCCATTCATTCACTGACCAGGAGAGTTGGAAGCAATTATCATGACATCTGTTCCATCTTCAACACACGTGCTTAATTTCTAACCTCATAAGCAGTGCCGGCGGAAGCGGCTTTGCACCGCAGCAGGACGCCACACCAAAGAATTTTGGACAACCGCAATGTAACTCGTTATGTCCAACTGCAGCTTTATCTTATACCAGAGGAAGAGTTTGCTGAATAAATACGACAGGTTCGACAAGTGCTTTCAAAATCTGTAAGCTAATTGAAGAATTCGAACATCTGCCCGCGGCTGCGAAAAGGTCTCCCAGCTTTGAACATGTTCTCAAATTAACTTGGCCTAAAGCGTATCAGAAAAGAGGAAACAGTAGTCTAGACAGATACCAAAAGAGGCAGCGACTCGATGATTAGAGGAATATCAGAAGTGTAGAAGCATATGAATTTCCACAGTTTTCAAAATTACTGCTGTTTCCTGCTAAATTTTCTTCTTTAATCTTTTCCCCGAAAGCTTTAATTTCACTCTAATTTTGTTATTATATTATATGTTATTTTCATTTCTTCTCTTGATAAATATGGACGTTTCAGACGTTTATTTTGACTAAAAGTAAAAATCATTAGCCATTTATTAAGGTTATAAGTATAGAATTCGGCACAGAAGTAAGGAAAATGTACTTAATTGGATTTGCGTGACTGAAGAGAATAAAAACTGCAAGGAACCACTTAAGACCAAAGATGAAATCATTTTGGAAGACACCTCTCGTTCATTCCAACCTGACGCAGCAAATTCTTCAGTAAAAAATTAACTATTTGAGACAACAAAAGAACGAAAAAAAAAAAAAAAAACAGAGAGAAAATATTACAGTTTTCAAAACTTACAGAAAAGAAGTAAAAAAAAAAAATGTACAGTCAAGGCTTTGACATATTACCGCATATTCGGCGTATAAGACGCATCGATGTCTAAAACCCACCTATACTTTCCAAACTACATTTATTAATTTTTAAGTAAATTCGCCGTATAACGCGCACCCTTTTCGTTATGAAGAAGCCTGAAAGATACATGTGCGATGCTCTTATCTTTAAAGTCTTGAAGTCATTCATTCGAAGATTTTTCCCATGCGTTCGAACAATGGTATACTGAAAAGCGATAAGACCATAACGCGAGTGAATAAAATTTCTGCAAACATGGTGGATTGTATTCAATGCAGGTGTGCACCAGAATGTCATTCTAGGGTTTGGAGAAAAGACGGACAGAATTTGGGGATGACAGACAGAATGCCCTTTCGACCCGAAAGAGTTTGCGGAATTAGGAATCAGATGTTTTCTCTTCCTGTAGTCATATGAATCCGTCGTTTTGAAGTGAACATCGAAGGCCTTTAATAAACTGAATTTGCTTTAGCTGAAATACAGTTGCTGTAGTGTTTAGTATAAAATATGGCTCTTGCCAAAGGAAGCAACACAGTGCTGGTTTAAAAGGCGGCAAAGCCATTCAGTTTGCAAAAGAAAATGAACTCGTGCTACTGCAAGGATGTTTGGCGTTGGGGAAAGATAGATCGGCTGATGATAATTTATTTATGAATAAGGGTAAAAATGATGGTGAAGATGAAACAGAATTCGATGATGTGTCTGAAGATGTAACGGAAGACGAACACGACGAACTTTTCATGTTATCCTATAATGAAAATTTTTATATTCATATGATATGTCATTTCTTTTAAATCAGCAGCATTTGGGTACATGTAAAAATCAAATTTTTGTATGCTGATGTTTCCCTTAATTTAATCTATAATTTTTATATCTGGCGTATAACGCTCCCCGTAAATTTATATATATATTTGTATTAAAATGCGCGTTATGGACTGGAACACACGGTAACCAATACTCTATGCAGTTTTCAATACTGCGCTACACAACGCTAAGCGAAGTGCCGAAAAATACTCGGGATGCTACTTAAAAGAAAGATTTAGAAATTCCGAATGAATTATAACATCTTCTCTACATATAATAAAAGAAATAGTCCGTCTCTGTGTGTGTGTGTGTGTCTTTCGTTCTTGCTGCGCGTAGCTAATAGACCCAGAGCTACGAAATTTGGTACATAGGTCCATCTAGACAACAGCCAGTGCACCTCGAAGCGATTTTTTCAAAATTCGAATGAGATTTTTTTTTAAAATCTTTTTTGATGAAATCGCATCATTTTGAATAGTTTCATTCTTTTAGAAATGAGGTTTTGGCAACAGTTTTTCTTTCAATGCTTTGTTTACTCGACTGCTGACTGTTGAAAATGTGAGATGAAATATTATTAATTATACACGAAACACGCACATCGGTTTACATGCAACAAAGTTTTACATGCAACAAATCACAGTTTACATGCAACAAATCCCAGTTTACATGCGACAAATGTACATAGTTAAAAGGGAGGATACATATTGTTGCATTGTTAATATGTCTTTAGTCCGTCAATCTTTCTTTTCCATAGTGTGTTGTCCTTATTTCTTAAAATAAAAAGCCATTGTTCTGAATTGTACCTGCCGCCCCGTAGGCATATTTCACAAGTGCACATAAGCGTAGCCACTGAGGGAGGGGTTTTGAAAATGGACCAATGAGCTCCTATTGCTCTTGTGACGCTAAATCTTCGTGTATGTTATTTACGTTTTAATTTGCATTTGTTTCGCAGTTATAAATATATGGCGTAATAGTAGAAAATCTCGTAGTGCTTTCTTTTTCTGAGTTTCATTAATCGCTGACATTTTTATCACACTTTAATATTTGGATTGATATTCACGGTATATTATGTGGATTAAGAGAATTCAACTGTATATTTGAGCTGAGAATGACTGAAAGTGTTACAATGAATCTAGTGCTTTCTTATTTCAGTGCGTGCGTTCTTTTGATTTTTAAAGTGTAACTTTCAGAACACATATAATCTGATTATATCCTTTGTTAACATTCAAAATTATATGTGAAAAAATTGAATATACTCGTTGTGAATACGATAAATTCACTCTGTTTGATAAGCATTTCTTGTGTAGACAGTACATTTAAGAGTAAGCCTTTATTAAATGTGAAATTTAACGCACTAAATGTATACGAATGCAAATTAATAAAGTTCACTTTGAATAAAATTCTGCTTTGGTTATTATTATAGAACATCTTTTTTATATAGACTGCAATAAAAAGTGCTGACTTCTATTTACATATACTATAATTGGTGTAAATATTTTTCTCATACGCATAGTTTTATGTAAAGATTGCATCTGGGCTCAGATGTTTATCACATATTTCTTTCTTCATCTTATTTACCACTTATTAAGTAATATTTCCCATTGCAACATGTGTTTGTATTTATTTCAACCAGGTAATGAAATCTACCTGGTTGAATCATAATTTCCCAG